AAATCAAAACCTCAAAATGACTTTTGAATCCTGTGAGTTCTTCTAGTGTATCACCAAACTTGGGAATGGTCCTAGGGATCTCTGACAAACAAAATGACACAATGACTGCTATTATAGTAAAAAAACCAGAAATAACTGGCATAAAACAAAGGGGAATGAGCACATAGGCCCTTAGCAAGTAATGCTTAAATTATTGAATAGTATCCTAATTCACTTCTGTATTTCTATGTATGTGCACTATAGGGTACATGTACTTGCCAGATAGAGACAGAGAGAGGGAGGGCAGAAAGCACCTACCAAGGGACATGGTCATGCTACAATTCCTCCTCCTCTGCCTTGCCCTCCTTTTTGGGATTTTAGACTCTTACACACATGCACCTGGCATATTTCTCAAGCTGCCAGGTCCAGGACTCAAACTGAGTACAGTTGGCCATCTGGGATCTAGCTGCCTTAACTGCCAGGCCATGAAGCCAGTCCCACTTGTGTGTTAGTGTCCTTCTTTTTTTTTTTTTTTTGGAGAGATTTTCGCTATAGGGTGCGTGCGCTCGCCAGACAGACAGAGACATAGAGACAGAAAGCGAGAAATCACCCCCCAGGGGGGATGGTCACGCCGCAATCCCTTCTCCTCCATTCTCCTCTTGGGATCTTGGGCACACACGCACATGCGCCTGGTGTGAGTTTTAAGCCACTGGGTCCAGGACGCGAACCACGGTCGACTACGTGGGAGTCCAGCGACATAGCCATTACGCTAACTGCTGGTTCCCAGTGTCCTTCTTAACTCCCTATCTTGACACTTGCCCAAAAAAAAGGGAGAGTAAATTAAGAGAAAATATCACCAAGCCAGGATGTTATCTACACTCCCTTCAGGAGCTCTAGAGAAAAATCTGTACCTTTACCTTTTCTATCTTTTAAAAGCTGCTTGCATTCCTTGACTTACTGCTCTTTCTTCCTCTTCAAAGCACATGACTCTAATCTCTGCTTCTATTATCATATCTCCTTTCTCTGCCTCTGACTCTTCTGCCTCCTTTTGAGGAACCTTGTGGTTTACATTTGGAATCCATTAAGATAATCTAAGATAACCATACCATCTCAAGATTCCTAATTTATTTACATCTAAAAGGGTCCTTTTGTTATATATATAGAAATATCCACAAGTTCTGCAAACTACAATGTGGACATCTTTGGGAAGTTATTATTCAGTCTACTATAGGTGCTAAAGTCCCAGGTACTCAATAGGACCTAGATCCTTGTTTTCTTTGTCTAGATTTTTCTTCTTTCTTCACTATGTGTCATTTTCCCACTATTACCATTCAAGTCCATTGTAACAGAGGTTCTACTCTGTTCAGGAACTGGCATTTATTATCAAAGTTAAGCTTAGCTCCTAGAAGTTAGTAAATAATCTTCATATACCTTTTGAATCCTTCTACCAGAAATTTAAAAAAAAAATTTTTTTTTCTGGGGGGCGGGGGGAACAGCAGTTGGTGTAATGGCTATATCGCTGGACTCCCATGTAGTCGACCATGGTTCAAGTCCTGGACCCAGTGGCTTAAACTCACACTGGGTGCATGTGCATGTGTGCCCACGATCCTGAGAGGAGAATGGAGGAGAAGGGATTATGGTGTGGCCATCCCCCCAGGGGATGAAGTTCTATGGAGAAAAAAAGAAAGTGTAAGGATGGAGGTGGTAAAACCAAAGAGCTTAGGACAGTAACTAAGGATGGTCAGCACTGAGAGTAGAAGAATTAAAGCTATTCATTAACTCTTAGAGAATGGTTTCAGATCTGAATAGGCTTCAGATCTGAGTAAGTGGTGAGACTCTCCATAAAAGCCCCCTTCATTAAAGTGGATGGGGAGATGTTCAACTTGGTGGTATACTGTTACATTAAAAACAGTAAAGATACAAGGGCCAGTTGGTGGCACAGTAGCAAAATGCAATGCTCTGCAGATACTGTTACACCGAAAGACAGTAAGATACAAGAGCCAGAGGTAGCACAGTAGCAAAGTGAAATGCTCTGTGAGGCTGACCCATGTGGGAAGGTACCAGGTCTATATATGGAAACTTCTTTGAGCCTGCTAGTATGCTTGTGCCCATGATTCAGGATGGATGAAGCTGGGGGTAGACTATGGCTTTTTTTTGAAGGTGCCTCTGTCTTTGTCTCTTCTACTCACTTGTGGAAGAAAGAAACTTGAAGAAAAAAAAAAAAGTGTGGTATCCTACCTTTGAAAAAAGTGCAAAGTAACTACAAATTCCTATATGCTTGTAGGTGTATAAAGAAATGCTGTAAGCATACAACAAAAATTACTCGAAGTTATTACCCATGTTAGAATGTCAGTAAAAATGGCAAAATAAGGACCTCTAAAATTTTGCTCTTCCAGGGCTGTGGTTTGAGTCCTGGACCTGGTGGCTTGCTTTCTCACTTTCTCTTTCTCTCTAGTCAAACTTAAAAACAAAATAAAGTTAAATAAAACAATTCTTTTTTTTTTTTCCTTTAGAGATTTGTGCTAGCGCGTGTGCTCACCAGAAAGACAGAGAGAGACATAGAGACAGAAAGCGAGAAATCACCCCCCAGGGGAGATGGACACGCTGCAATCCCTTCTCTTCCATTCTCCTCTCGGGATCTTGGGCACGCATGCACATGTGCCTGGAGTGAGTTTTAAGCCACTGGGACTCGAACCACGGTCGACTACATGGGAGTTCAGTGACATAGCCATTACACTACCTGCTGGTCCCTCAAACAATTCTTTCCAATGCCCTTAATTGCCGGGCCACCTCCTGGCCCCCAAAATAAAATAATAATTTTTTTTTGCGGGGGGGGCGGTTTGCTATAGGGCACGTGCACTTGCCAGAAAGACAGAGAGAGACAGAAAGTGAGAAATCACCCCCCAGGGGGAATGGCCATGCCACAATCCCTTCTCCTTTATGCTCTTCTTGGGATTTTGGGCACACACACACACACAAGTGCCCAGTGTGAGTTTAAGCCACTGGGTTCGGGACTCAAACTGTAGTCGACTACATGGGAGTCCAGCAACATAGCCATTATACCAACTGTTGGTCCCAAAAATATAATTCTTAAAAAAAAATTGCACTTCTAGAAAAACAACTAAATAACTGACAAAACCTGTCAGAATCAATTTTTTCAGAATTCTGTAAATTAACCAAAGCTTTTCAGCAACCAAGGAACATATATTCAAGAAAAGTGAATGCATTTCAGTGAGAACAGTGAGCTCTGTGGCATTTTAATTTCCCTAGTACTATAGCTGGCTCCTCAGTTTGGCAGTAGTCTTGGAAAATAACAGCCCACATTTCCAATACTAGAGAGAAGAGAATAAAGCTGGAGCCCTTTCAAAGCCAGAGCTTTTTCAAAGCCTCATATCCTCCAAAATAGTCATTATTGGACATACTTCATAGTTCCCTGGAAGACCTCACTGAAGGCCTGTCTTGATTCTGCCTTACAGGGAATCACATACTGCTAAAAGCCTCCAAAGAGGAGGTACCTGTCAAACATTTAACAGGGAATTTTTTTTTTCAAGAGAGATTTTTGCGTTAGGGCATGTGTACTCACTGAAGGGGGAGAGAGACAGACAGCTAGAAATCACCCCTCATGGGAGATGGCCATGCCACAACCCTTTTTCCTCCATTCTCCTCTCAGGATTTTGGTTATACATGCATAAATGCCTGGCATCATTTGAGGCTGCTGGGTTGGGACTCGAACTACAGTAGGCCATGTGGTAGTCTAGTGACATAACCATTATGCCATCAGCTGGTTTCTACAGGGAATGTTTTAAAGTCACTATTGCCCCAGGTGATAGCAAACAGCTGGGGCAAACAATACACTAACCAAAAAGATGAAAAGTAAAAACTGAGAAAATGAAGTGTCCTAAGGGGCTTTGAAAAGTTCCAAGACCACCCTGCAGAAACATCCTAATTAAACTATCAAAAGACAAAACCTGAGAGTCCTGAAAGCAGCAAAAAGGGGAGCAATTTATCTCATTGATGGCAGTTCAATAAGATTAACACCATGGAAATCAGAAACAACAACAACAACAACAAAAATAAAACTACCCACAAGAATTCCACATCTAGCAAAAATGAAGGCAAAACCAAGAGACTCCCAGATAAAATCTCAGGGAATTTGTTCTTAGTAAACCTGCACTACAAATAATCCTAAAGGGAGTTCCTCAGGCTGAAATCAAAGAACACTATAGAGTAACTCAAAATAAAGAAAACCAATAAAGGGGACCAGCAGTTAGTGTAATGGCTATATCGCTGGACTCCCACATAGTCGACCATGGTTCAAGTCCGGGATCCGGTGGCTTAAACTCACACCAGGCACATGTATGTGCATGCCCAAGATCCCGAGAGGAGGGAGGAGGGATTGCGGCATGGCCATCTCCCCTGGGGGGTGATTTCTCACTTTCTGTCTCTGTCTCTCTCTGTCTGCCGAGCACACGCGCCCCATAGTAAAAACCTCTCCAAAAAAAAAAAAAAAAAAGAAAAGAAAACCAATAAAGATAACTACACAGATTAATATAACACAGCATAAACACTTTTTTTTGGGTTTATTTGTAATAACCTTTTTTCTGATTTAAAAGGCAACTCTAAGGCCAGCAGATGGTATGGTGAGTTAGGCGCTTGATCCTACATGGTCAACTCCTTGGTGGGTGAGTCCTGGACCTGGCAACTTGACAAATATGGTGGGTACATGTGCATGCATACTGAAAGTCTCAAGTGGAGAAGGGAGAAGGGATTGAAGCTGGCCATAGCCCCGGGGGGTGACTTCCGACTTTTCCTACTCCCAATCTCCTCTCTTTTTCTGTCTTTCTCTGGTGAGTGTACATGTTCTACAGCAAACAAAAAACAAACAAACCAAAAACATCTGCGTTAAGTCTTAGAGGAAAGTTCCCACTCATACCTGGCGCCTGTCCTCACCTGGACCAGTGCTTTGAGGATAAGCTTGCTCCACCAACCATGGCTCTTCTCCTTGCTCTAATAGAGAGATGACTTCAGGCTTGGCAATCTGATTCCCTATGCACAGAGGAAAACATTTGACTTGTGTAAGAAAGCTTCACGACTGCCAAAGAATAATTCCCCTGCCTACCCCTCCCTGGACTTTTCACTTGGGCAAAATAAACACAGACCTTCCCAGTTCATGCTTCATCAGAATTAGAAATTTAATCCCTGGACCTCAGGGCTCAAGATGATCTCAACCCTTCTGAGACACCTCGTGAGCTTTAAACATGGAGTAGCTAAAGGTATCGGGATGGAATAGCTTTGTTTATTTGGTCAGCATTCACCTTACCCACAGAGAGCAGGTGACCATAGGTCTCCAGCATCACATCGCGGTACAGGGTCCTTTGAACAAGATCCAGCTGTCCCCATTCTTCTTGACTGAAGTCCACAGCCACATCCTTGAAGGTCACTGGCTCCTGAAAGAGTATACATATTCCTTAACCTTGGATCACCCTCTCCAGCATTTCTGAGGATAGAATGAGGCTGACTTCCCTAGGGAGAGGAGACAAGATACAGAAGAACTGTCCTGGATATAGCTAAGATTCTGGATGATGTGGGTCAAGTCTTATTGGGAACCACCAAAACCTAGGGGCCCAAATTTGGGATGCACAGTTAGGGAATTAGATATCTGGGTTTACAATAACCATGGCAAGAATCAACATGTCTCTCCTAAGTCTCTTACTCAATTCTAATAATGATGGCTAGTGCGTACAGGATTCTCAACTGGGAAATGCACATCCCCTCCAGAAGTACAGACACTTAATAATACCCAGAGCAGAGTGGAAACAGGTTATGTGCACTGGCTGCTGACCATAGATCTTGGGTTTAGAGTCTGCTCCAGAGGCAGATATGGGATCTAGAAAGGTGTCACAGGCTGTCTTCCAGGCCATAGTATGAAAGTTTTTATTCCTAGATCCTCTCTGACCTAAGGACTGGGGCTAAGGGTGAACAGGATAGCCCAGAGCAGCCTAGGCCAAAGAGAATCAGTTAAGCTACTGTTGAGTTAAAAAAAATTATAAACTCTCATTTCAGAGAAAATGGAACCAAGAAAAACTAGAAAACCAGAAAAGATGAAACCCTAGGCTTGATTTTGGTCAGGAATCTATCCTAAAGAGTTTTCTCAAGAAATCAGTTAGTCTCAGGTATCTGAGTATTTGGGGATGTACTGGGGGAGAGGGGTACCTCCCTTAGTAGTAGGGAGTACATGAGTGTGGTGTGCCACAACTCTCTCTCTACTTGCTTCTCACCTTCCAAAACCTGTGCACACATGGTCCTCCCATGTGGAAACCAGTTTTCTTCCTTTTCCTTCTTTCTTTTGATTCTGCTATAGGGCATGTACAATCACCAGAGTGAGCAAGTAAGGATGTGTGAATGAGAAAGCATCCCATTGGGGGAGAGGGTCACACCACAATTCCTTCTCCTCCATTCTCCTTTTGGGGTTTTAGGTACATACACACACACACCTGGCATGTTTTTCAGACTGCTGAGTCTGGGACTCAACCATGCACTCAGCCATGTAGGATCCAGCTGCCTTAACCACTATATCAACAGCTAGCCCTGGAAACCAGATTACTGATCTACCTCCTTTGACACTTCATTATCAACCCCAAATGTTCCTGAAGGGAAACATGTATAGTGTACCTTCTACTCCAACCATCCTCTGGACTTCCACCTGCTCCTTCACATTTATGTTACTTTTCTACCCAATATGGCCTCTCCTGTGGTCTTTCTCTCTCTCTCTGCTAGTCACAGCTTATAAAGTGAGTTTATCATCTCTAATCTGGGCCAGCCCTTGCTGCTTAGTCTTTGGTGTATATCTTTGTACTCCATCCACCTGAACTGTTCCCCCTTCCCCTTAAGACAATAACTGGCTTATAACAAAGAAATACTTCTACTCCTATGGTTCCTTTACCCTAAAGTGCTGACACTCCTGTACATTCAGCCTTATTACAGCCCACACGGAAAATGGCCATCCTCTTGTCTGTGTACCTGTTCTCAGAGTATGTGTTATTAAGAATCTCTCTCCTATATCTTTTTTTTTTTTAGAGTTTTTTTTTTTGCTATAGGGCGTGTGCGCTTGCCAGAAAGACAGAGAGACAGAGAGCGAGAAATCACCCCCCAGGGGGGATGGCCACACCACAATCCCTTCTCCTCCATTCTCCTCTTGGGATCTTGGGCGCGCGCACACACACACACACACGCCCGGCATGAGTTTAAGTCACCGGGTCTGGGACTCAAACCGCAGTTGACTACATGGGAGTCCAGTGACATAGCCATTACGCTAACTGCTGGTCCCTCTCCTGTATCTTTACGTCGGCTTTTTAGAAACAGCCTGCCTTATATTCACTTTGACGGCACATGTATTGAGAAAAGAAACATCCTGTCTCTCCTACAAGGGAGGGGTTGTCCTGCTTCTTCTCACAGCCATCTTCCTGCAGGTATAGTCCACCCATGCCATTTTTTCTTCTAGCTTCTACTCTGCTGCAGTTCCTTCTCTGCCTTTATTATACTTTTTCCTGTTTCTTGGTATTGGAAAATTTCCCTTTATATTCATAATTTTTGCTACTCTATATTGAAGCATTTGGGGACAGTGAACATGCATTAAGTATTTAATATCATTCTTATTTTCACTGAACTCTCACCAAGATTCCCAATGCCCTATGATAGCTATGCCCAAAGATCAATTTCAGACCTGCACCTTCTGTGATCTTCTGCAACCTTTAAAAGTGCTGAGCATAATCTCCCTCTGTTACACCCTTCCCAATCTTTGCTGGTCAATGCCAACTTCTTGGTTTTCCATTTACAGATCTCCCCAAATCTCAGTATACTTGACGGCTGCTATTTCTATGTTCTAAGGTAAAGCAAACTTGTATTTAAATGTAATACACAGAAAAGTGCACAAAATCTAAGCTAAATGCACTTTCACAGAACAATTACACCTGTGGAACAGGTAGGAGGTCACACTCATTGCTCTGTGCTTGTCTCACACCACTTAATCTCCTTGGGAGTGGCACCTTCTTATATACCTTCTAGGATGTTGGTCCTCCCACACTTTATAAGGTCCAAACCTATACCCTGGCAGCTGTCCAGCTGGTAGACTGAGCCACAAATTTACCTCCCAACCCTCTAAAAACCCAAATAGAACCACCATACACTAATAGAATAGAAGGATCATATCTAAGAGGAGTGAGGAGCGAAATCCTTAAAGGAGCTCTGTCATCCCTGGAAAAGCAGTGGACACATCACTGACTGTCAATGACTGCTGCACTGCAGGTGAGAGGCAGACAAGAGCTTTCTAACAGAAGGATCAGTCTGACAATACCTCCACCTGCCAGTCCAACATACCGTCCAAAACAGATGCAGTGAAGGCCTGTTACTAGGACAGCCTGGTCAGCCACCTAACCAGCCACCCTACATTTATGCCTAGGTAAAACTCCCAGGAGGCTTCCCAGATCAAGAGTGTGAGAGGGTCTTAGGCTGAGGTAAAGTGAGCTAAGGCCTCTTCAGTCCCACTGGGGAGAGGTTCCTGGGCTCAAAACTTCATATCCAGAAAACAGAAAGCAGAACTGACCTGCTGACCCTGGTCCATGATCCGAAAGAGAAACTTGGCAGGAGGGAAAAACAGGCACCAATCAAGAACCAACCTGCTAAGCTGCTGAGAGGCTCCTTCAAACACAGCATTGTACCCTTTCCTTGGTAAGCATGAACACACTAAATGATCTGTGGACTGAGGAACACTTGTCATACAGGAGACCAAACTCAGAGGCTAAGAGTACACAGAATCCAGACAACCACCACATCAAACTTTCTTTTATACAGAGAGATTTCCTACAGGGCATGTGCACTCGCTGGAGAGACAGAAAGTGAGAAATCATTCCCTGGGAGTATGGCCATGCCGCAATCCCTTCTCTTCCATTCTCCTCTTGAAATCTTGGGCACGCACATACACACTCCTGGCGTGAGTTTAAAGCTGCTGGGTCTGGGACACGAATTGTGGTCATCTATGTGAGAGTCCAGAGACAAAACCATTATGCCATCTGCTGGTCCCATCACATACAACTTTCAATAAACTGTACTTTCTATCCTCAGATTTCACGATAAAACAGGACATAATGTCCCAAGAAAAATAGTATTTCTTATTCTGATAAGAGAACAGGAAAAATTCATAGACTATGAAGGAGATTAAAGAGAACAATCATTTTGAGAGGTCCCCAAGTTCTGTGATGGTGGTAACAGGATTGTGAGGCCTCCCAAACCTTTTGAGAAAACAAGGAACATAAGAGGAGACAGGCAGTTGGCATGGTGATTAAGGGAGCTTGAATCCCACATGGCCGAACATGGTTGGAGTCCTGGACCTGGTGGCTTGCTTTCTTACTTTCCCTCTCTCTCTTGCTTGCTCTGTCCCTTTCTGGTCAAATTAAAATAAATAAACAAACAAATAAACAAATAGGGACCAGCAGTTGGTGTAATGGCTACATCGCTGGACTCCCTTGCGGTCAACCATGGTTCGAGTTCCAGACCTGGTGGCTTAAACTCACACCAGGCACGTGTGTGTACATGCCCAAGATCCTGAGAGGAGAATGGAGAAGGGATTGCGGCATGGCCATCTCCTTGGGCGAGGCGGGGGCGGGGGGAGGTGATCTCTCTCTTTCTGTCTCTCTTTCTGGCGAACGCACGTGCCCTATAGCAAAAACCTCTCCAATAAATAAATAAATAAATAAATAAAGTTAAATAAACTAATTCTTAAAAAAAAAAAAAATGGGACAGACAGAGCAACTCCTTCAGGAGGCCCACTATGTAACAGAAGACCTCAGAGACTACAAAGGAAAAGGACAGAAAGGAATTATTTGTTAATATAGGACCCCAACATACAATGCTGGTCATAAATGCAGATGTTTAACAAAACATACCATAAAATATGTATTAACCACCAGTTAAGCAACAGACTACAAGATAATTCATTCATGACAAAGAAAGATACTCTAGAATGCATATGAAACACCTTCACTTCAGTAAGTCAGTTTCTAAAATTCTATGAATGGTGGTGGGGGAGAGAGACAAAGAGAAGGAACTATAGATGGCCAATAAAGATATTAAGATATTCTACTTTACTAGCAATCAGGAAATTAAATGAAAAGAAAAACAATGATATCACTTTTTTGGTCCTTTTTTTTTTTTTTTTAAATTTGACCAGAGAGAAAGGGAAGGCAAGAAAGTAAGTTACCAGGACTGGGACTCGAACTGCGGTTGGCCAAGTGGGAATCCAGTGTCTTTAACCATCACACCACCTGGTGGCCCCATCACTTTTTAGTCTTGAAATAAGTGAAAATGAAAAGCCCTCATAATGTCAAGTACAAGCAAAGATGCAAGGAAATGGGTGGGCACTTTAACCCAGAGTGGGGAGACTGACAAATGG